AATAATAATATGATAATTTGCTTGTTATTATACAAGATGTACTTACTATTGTCAAAATATAGGTATAAATATAAAAGTTGTATAATAGTACATTATAATATATCAAGGTAGAGAAGTCCAGTATTATTGCCTGAGCACCAAGATAACATCTCGAAGCGCTTGCAAATGCACACAGCATTATTATTTGTCGCCCAACGTGGGGCCTATATAGTCCGTGGACAACTTTTCATTCCGTTCCCCTTCTTACAAAAATAGTGGATTTTAGATTACAGAGGTTTTTATTTTCATTGGTAAATGTGCATTAACATTATATTTAAAATAAACTAATTTGTTTCGTTTTCACAATTCTTTCACAATCTATGACATGAATTCCTAAGCACTTTTCACACAGAGTTACGCAAATGCTCAAAATATGCGGTTCGTCTTGATTATTGCCTTACAAAAGGAAATTCATTTGGTGAAGGGTTTTCAAAAATTTCCCTAAGTCTCAAGTAGGTAACGTTCCACTCCTGATATAAATAATACTAAAAAAAAACTGTGTACACGTATCTCTAACTTTGGTCAAAATGAAGATATATCTACTTTCGATGTTCAATTTCTTTGGGTTACTTTGTTAGTATGTAAAATTTTATTAACGATCCCCGAGATCGTTTATAAATTTGCAATGCTGTCTGTCTGTCCATCTGTCTGTTCGTGTGCACGGCAACTTTGTATAGAAATGTCCGATCACTTTGAAAATTGGTACACATGTTTTTAAAGATATAAGAAAGGTCGCTACCTACGTAGACTAACGAGCCAAAAAGTGACAGTCCAGAAACTTCCCAAACCTCCAAAAAAAAAGGATTTCTTTTGTTACAAAGAATATATGAATGTCTGATTTTCTGTATTAGTACATACCTATTCCTTAAATTTCAAGTAACTCTACAGACGAGAATTTGCGCATGCGCAACCAAACTGTTGATTTTCATTGTAAGGTTCAGGTGTGTTTGCACAATCCAATTTCTTTATTTGTTAAAATATTTAAATGAAATGTTGTATGTAGGGTCAGTGTTATTTGCACAATGTACTTATTTATGCACTACAACCTCGAATCTAAGCAAAACCAATGCCGAATCAAAAAATTTGTTGAGATATTTAAATGTAATGTAAATTCAAAAAATTTGTTCTACAAACTATGCCGATCTGGTGCGACAAAATCGATCTCTTAAGGTGTGTAAAAATGATGGGTGCGCGAAGATCTTGAGGGTCGTTCGGTATTGAGTTGTATCGGATTTTTATTATGTGCAACCCCCCAAAGTACTTAGCACGACTGAAGTTGCCTTTGCTCCTCTTGACTCATTTTTGTTATCGCTGCACAATTATTACAGTCGGGTATACAATAGTCGATTTGCTGTAATAACAACAATAGAAGTTTCATTTGTGAGGTATATAAAGCATATGTCAAAATGAAAGTTGCATAGCAAAACTTGTGTATCGTGAGCAAAACCGACACAGTGTGTAAAGATAGACTAAAAGAATGCCTATTAAACAAGTTGTCTAAATATATTAGTAAAATACGGTTTGTTGAGTATTTGTACAAAGTTAAATGAATAAAAATGTTATTATAGCACATTAAAACATTGTGGTGGCCGGACATTAGGCCGCCAGACAGTAGGACGCAGACAATAGAACGCGGACATTAGGGCGTAGACAATTGGGACGCGGATAGTATGACGCAAATATTGGGACGCAGACAATGGGACGCGGAGATTGGGACAAATGGGACACAGATCATAGCCTAGGACGGGACGTTAGAGTCCATACCTTGGTACATGGACATTATGACACATGTATAATAATAAGGACGAAAAATTGGTACAACGTGTGTTTAATTTTTCGACTTTAAAAAAAGTCAGAATTGTTTGTTTTATATTGTACATTTGGTGGAAGGATGCGAGCCACGTTATAGGTTATTATGATTATTGTTTAGTTACTAGGTATATATTATAGGTACAAAAGGGTACACAAAAAACACTGGAATTATTTTTTAAAAGCTATAATTACACTTGGGCATACAGACAGACGGACAAACAGGCGCACAGACAGGGGCGACAGACGGACAGGCAGACAGACAGCAAACGATTTCGAGGATCGTTAATAAAAAGCAAGTGGAAAATTGCGTTTTTCCGTCCGTCCGGGCCCACTTCTGCCGTTTTGAACTTCTAGGAGAATGGTGCTAGAGTCCTGTTTGCAATAGTTATCCTATACCAGACGGCCATCAAATTTCGCTGTCTGAAGGGGAATTATTTCCTGAGATGCGCTGTTTTTGAAAGTGAAACGTGCATATAACTTTCTTCTAATGGAGTGTCGAAATAATCGAAATAAATTGGTTCGTACAAACTATAACTTTCCCGCGCGACTCTTTTTCCATTGGTGATGTCAAAACTTTCAGAGCTAATATCTCGAAGTGTCGGAGGAAAGTACTCTCAAAGGTAAAATGAATCGACTGGGCGACACATATCATCATGATACTATTTTATAACCCAAACATTTACTAAGCTATTTCGGTTTAAAAAAATGCGCTATATTTTCACGAGAGTATTGTGCACAATGTATACTTGTTTCTATTTTCAATGAAAGTGCTCGTGAGTTTCTGCGAGGAATTTTTAGATTCATTTGTAAAGGACGACTTCACGCCAAGGAACAAACAACATGGCGGCATTCCAGTTCTCCAAGTGGTAAAAAATTCAAGCAAACACCGTCAACGAGGAAGGATGGCTTTGGTATTCTGGGACAGGAAATGCTTTCTGCTGATCGACTATCAGGTACAACAATCGACGCGGCAAGACCTTAACAAATGCACGTCGAGCTTTACGGAACAAAGCAAAGCGCTGGTTAACAGAGGGAGTTCATTTGCACCATGACAAAACCCCCCCTCACGTACCCTACACCACGATGGATCTCAGTGCCAAATTCGAATAGGAAATCATCGGCCATCCTTGTTTTGGTTCCCAGTAACGACTATACTCTTCTTCCTAGCCGTATGAAACTGTAAAACGCGCGTACAGACATGCAACAGAACGTCGTAACGTAACTTCGCTCTGCAACATTTTTCGTTGCAGCACGACGTTACGGTGTCATTGGATTGCGAGGTGCAACAACACATCGCTCTGTAACACTGGCACGTAACATATTACCGTCCCATCAGTTTCTAATTTTTTTTGTTTGGGGCAATTTCTACCCACGCCTCGTATTTTAAATTTTATTATAATAAAAGGAGTGCTTATTATCTAACAAAATCTTTTTTTTTCTGTACACTTCACTTAGCACAGCGTCTTTCGTCCACTCCATATTCAATAAATTGCAGTACGCACTAAAGGCGCGTACAGACATGCAACAGAACATCGTAACGTAACTCCGCTCTGCAACATTTTTGGTTGCAGAACGAAGTTACGGTGTGATTGGATTGCGAGATGCAACAGAACACCGCTCTGTGACATTGGCGCGAAACATATTACCGTCCCATCAGTTTCTTAATTGCTGCTGCAGCTTGTATTGTAATCACTATTAAGTGCGTGATTTTGACCTCTTGCGCAATTTCTACCCATGCGTCGTTTTTTTTAAATTTTATTATAATAAAAGGGGTGTTTAGTATCCCACAAAATCTCTTTTTTTCTGTACACTTCAATAAAGTTTAGCACAGCATTCTCCGTCCACTCCATGTTCAACTGCAGTACGCCCAAAAGTGAATTGACAATTTAAATATAGGAAACGTTTGCAAAGTGGTACAAACATGCATATACCACGTGCAACATGAACGCGTAACATCCCTTTGATGCGACGATGAAATACCGACAACGGATGGGACGCCAAAAAGTTACGATGTTACACCGTTACGCTGTTGCAAAGTTGCGCCCAAATTTGTTACGCACCGGTGTTACGTTACGATGTTTTGTTGCATGTCTGTACGCGCCTTAAGGTGAATCCACAATTCAAATGGGAAAAGTTCGCAAAATGGTACAAACATGCATATACCACGTGCAACATCAATGCGTAACATCCCTTTGATGCGACGACTAAATACCGACAACGGATGGGACGCCGAAATGTTACGATGTTACACCGTTACGCTGTTGCAAAGTTGCCTCCAAACTTGTTACGCACCGGTGTTACGTTACGATGTTCTGTTGCATGTCTGTACGCGCCTTAATAAATACCTCTTACCGTTCTTAAGGCGCGTACAGAGATGCAACAGAACATCGTACCGTAACTCCGCTCTGCAACATTTTTGGTTGCAGGACGAAGTTACGGTGTGATTGGATTGTGAGGTGCAACAGAACACCGCTCTGTAACATTGACGCGAAACATATTGCCATCCCATCAGTTTCTTAATTTTCTTGTTAGAATGGACGTTGCTGCTGCAGCTTGTATTGTAATGCACTATTTAGTCGTGATTTTGACCTCTTGCGCAATTTCTACCTATGCGTCGTTTTTTTAAAATTTGATTATAATAAAAGGGGTGTTTAGTATCCCACAAAATCTCTTTTTTTCTGTACCTACACTTCAATAAAGTTTAGCACAGTATTCTCCGTCCACTCCATGTTCAACTGCAGTACGCCCTAAAGTGAATTGACAAGTTAAATAGGAAACGTTCGCAAAGTGGTACAAACATGCATATACCACGTGCAACATGAACGCGTAACATCCCTTTGATGCGACGATGAAATACCGACAACGGATGGGACGCCGAAATGTTACGATGTTACACCGTTACGCTGTTGCAAAGTTGCGTCCAAATTTGTTACGCACCGGTCTTACGTTACGATGTTTTGTTGCATGTCTGTACGCGCCTTTATACACTAATTAGATTGAGAAACGATGCAGGGGTTGAAGTTGCTAAAAAAATGTAATGTATAATATCTTTCTTTGAGATCTTTAACACTACTGCCTCGTCTTCTTTTGAAAATTTTTTTGTAAAAATGAAAAAGACTACTTATTTCAATTTATTTATTGACTAAGGGTAAAATACACGACTTCACTAACACACCTGTGAAGTTGGAGCAAATTAAAAGTACTATAAAGTGGCGTTGGTGCAATCTGGGCCCCAACGTGGTACACATTGTTGGCTTGACCGTTGTTGTTATATAATTAGTACTACATTGTTGCTAGTACAAGGGCAATTACAACTCGTCCACAATTGACGTGAGAAATACAAGTCGGCATCGGCCAACAGGTACCTACAATAAGATAAGTCAAAACCGTTTCAAACACGTACTCATCAAATCATAATCGTTCAAACCCCAAATCTACACCGCTTTTTGCTTTCTCGTTGCCCACATCTGCAAAATATCTGGCCAGGATCATTGACCATAGGTACTACTGCTGTTTTGTGTTTATGTGAAAGTGTACATAGTAGATATTTTTTTTGTGCAGTTGTCAAATTGAAATTTAACATCCTCAAATCTGCAGCTCCACTTGGGGGTGGTGATTAGGTGCTTGCACGATTTTGTCTTTTTTGAAGCAGTGTAAAGTACGAGAACGACGCCTTTAGGATCTAAAAAGAACAATCTTAAAAACAGAAAGAATTTTGATTTTCACTTACGGTAATCATGGTAACCATCGTAACTGGGGCAAACTTTCCGATTGTGAATACTACCGACTTTTGTGTCCGTGCCATAAAGAGAAGCAAACATTTTTGAAATGGTAAATTGCTGCCAACAAAATCAACGTCATAACAGGAATCAACAAGATATTCATTTTCTGTAATTACGCGTTGTGTAAAAAAGCAATCCCCGAAGAAATACGTGCACGCTGCAAGCACATAGACACACATCTTCCAGAATTGTAGACTAAACGTTGGGACCTATACAATACATTCACACTAAATGAGCATTTTTATTTTTTATTTGTCAGTCGACTTACACTTGTCAGGCGAAGTAACTCGGCACAAATTAGAAATGACAAATTCACGAAGCTGGCCAGTACAGACTTGTTGAATATTGTCTCCGCTTCATTCGCAATTTTAATAACGTACTGGTAATGCGAAATGATTTTCTTCATTTGCCCATGTTGATATAACCATGGGACACTGTGTTGGTCAACTAAGGCTGGATCTATGTTTTTCTCGCAGCAAAAATCCTCTTTTGCATCATCCATCACCTCATTAATACTCACTCGTAAGTATTTAAAATGTATTTGCAGTTGTAGCATTAGGCACAACTTTATAGTATCGGTTAAGACATAATCTAGGCCCATGCATGCGAACAAAATTTGCAGTTGTAGCATTAGGCACAACTTTATAGTATCGGTTAAGACATAATCTAGGCCCAGGAAGGCATTGAACCGAAAGGGAGGCTTCCAGGCTTCTTTGTCAAGAACCATATAATGACAGTAACCAAGAAAGATCCAATTCCCATTGGTATGAATATTGAACTCTTAAAATGTTATTTGTAATTTACGACGACCCATTATAAGTTTAAGAGCCGAAACTTACCGCTGTGGATAACGCACGTTCTAGTTCCTTGCGTAACTCAAACACCCTTTTGATTTTATAATTGTTCGCATTTTCCAATGACTTCAACAAATCTGCCAGTTTGGACCTGTGTATCCTTAATATTGTACTTCGCGGTATCACTAAGTACAATGTGTGGTAAGTAAAAAGTTCGTGTTGTTACTATACGTATACCTACTATTGGCTATCACAGCGCCGTATATAAAGTCATCTATTTCATCACTGTCGAAATTCCAGCTTCGGTAAAAAAATAGTACAGCGTATAGATACATAGCAAACAGGTAAACAAATTGGACACATTTTTCACCATTTCGCATCTTACTCCGCAGTACAAATCCATTTAATTGGGAAATTTGTTTTAACTTATCGAAGTACGCCGGCGTTGTCTTGCTTGACATCTCCATTTCTGTAGCTAAAATTGTGATCGTTCAGCCTTTTATACGTTTTACGAAAGATTGATCGCAAAAGTTTGAAGTTAATACATAATTGAGATGCATTTAATAAACATTTCAGGCACGCAAATGTGGGTAGGTATTTCAATAGGCGGCTACATTTTATGGAAAGTTTTAGGTTTTTTTTTTTGAATATAACATAAAATAAGTAGGTACATAAATATCATTGCTTTAGAAACCTTTTGAATTATATATAAATTTTTGACAATTTTTAATGTTTTTAATTAATTATACATTTGGGATTATTCTCCAGTTTTTGAGCCATCGAATGATATGTGAAGTATGAAGTTCCGTGAAGGATATCACAATTTACGAATATCCTAGGACGCGAACTGCTATGTATCAACGTTTTAGGAAAAGTCATTTAATTAATTAATCAAATTGATTAATCATTAGTCTATGATCAATTAATTTTAAGTAACATTAGATTCTCTATTTACGCAGGCCTGACGGACCTGGCGGTTCGTTAATGTCACTGTTTTCATTGCCGAATACGTTTATCCCTATTTCGGGATCAACGTTGGCTTCTTTGAATTCGTCGGATTCTCCTTGTTCAGTCGATAAAGGAATATCGATACATATTCCACAAATTACGTTTGTGCCGTATCGCCAGGAAAATATATTCCTGGAAGAAGTTATTTCGATTTTTAGATGCCTGTAGATGTTTGCTATAACTTCGCACACTTTTGTCGCCATAAATTTCGAGACTAGATGGATTGGTTAGTGTTACGTTTGTGCCGGTTTGTGGGGTAAAAAGTTTGCCAGCAAAGCATTGCCTTTGAAGGTTATCTCAATTTTTAGATGTTCTGGAAACCTTGTACACTTTTGTCGCTATACTGTTCAAACTAAGTATAATGTTAATGTCACGCATGGGTTAATGCTATCTTTGTGCCGGAATGTATAGTAAAAAGTTTGACCAAAAAAGGGAATGTGTGAAAACTCCCAGCACGTTTTTAATAAATATTATAGCTTTCACACAAGTGTAGTGTGCTTTTGATGACACTTTATTGTCTAATTTGTTGACAATTGTATGCCATATATTTGCAGATGGTTTGTTTATATAAGATCATCCTTGTGTTGGAGAAGAACGTGTGTGTTAGCTTCGTTTTTTCAATGACAGCCTTTCGCGGCGTGTTGTACCAAATGTAAAATAATTGAAGTTACAATTAGCATCTGTCTGTGGTGTATTAGTCATTCGTGAGATTGGGTCTCCAAATGGTAAAGAACTCAGGGGATAACTGTTATATAAGTCCAAATCTGCTAAATCCGATTGCACTACATGAAATAGATAAGAATCCCTAAGTTCCGCCGTTGTATATACAAGATAAGTGTACGGTCACGAAAAAATATATCGGACCTAATCTCATGTGTTTAGTAGAACACCTTGTATATTTTAATCTAAAAAGGTAGCATATTAAATATTTTATTTTATTTTT